CACTTTTATATCTAACTATTGCTCACCTCTTGTGATAACCAGTGGCCAAGATAGACTGCTATTAAGAAACAAATCTTTCACCAATGAATAGTTTGCAAACATTTAAAATATTATGCTGCATTCTGAGTGATATTGCTTGAATCATTGTTTTGTGTGGAAACTCTAGTCCAAAAGATAAACATCACTTGAACTATCCTCTGACAAAATAAATTTATTCCAATGTAATGACTGAACAGTATCTCTAGCAGTCTATCTTGGCCACTGGTTATCACAAGAGGTGAGCAATAGTTAGATATAAAAGTGTGCATAAAGCTGGCTGCAACATCTGGATATGAACACATTTCTGTCTGAATATGAAGAAATATGAATTGGATAGTGGTAGTGAGTCAGTTTGAATTTGACGTTTTAGGTCTGACTCCTAAAAGATGCTTTCTCACTGAGTTCCAAGGAGGAAGCATTTAAATTACTCCAAGCTATTTTTTAAACCGTGAAGGCTGCTCTTCTAATGTTGTAATGGTGATCTTTTCGGTTTTACATAATACACGTACAGTATGCATGTCATTAAAGGTTCTTCTGAATTACACCAAATTCAACCTCCTTTATGAAAAAAAACTTATTATGTTATAGTAACAACAATATGGAATCTTTTATTTCTTGCTCCCCAGATTGTTTAGTGTAATTTTGGAACAATTAACCAAAGAAACAGAAGGGGGTAGCCATTCCGGTGGCAAACCAGGTGGTTTTGATGTAAAAGCTCTAAGGGCCTTTCGTGTCCTGAGACCCCTCCGGCTTGTATCAGGAGTGCCCAGTAAGTCACCGCTTCATTAATTATTTGGGAATTCAAACAAAAACATCACTGGGTTACTTTGATAAACTTTTCTGCAGGCTGAGGTATAGCCTCCCCTTCCCTTTCTCTGTATATAGTACAGTACAATAAAATGTGATGACATGGTATAAGATTATTTAGATAGAGTCCAAACTGAGATTTCAAGTTTGAATACAGATCTATTTCAAGTCCACAAAGCAAGCAAAAGAGTTTAGATTGTTATGTTTCATGGTTTAGGCCATAATTTACACATTAGGTAGTAAAATAACGGTTATATTAAGCAATGTATTGGTCTGCCCCTTAAAAAGGCATTATTATTAGTGCTGCTGTGGTAGTGGATACCTTTCTGCCTGTAGCACTCAAGGCAATCTAAAATAAAATTGAATATTTTGAAGTAGAAAACAGCTGGAATATTACAGATTTGAGAGTGAAGGTTCATTCTCTGAGCTTGTGGGTTGGTTTCCAAACATTTTGTTACCAGGCTAGGTAACATCTTCAGTGGAGTTTAGGGGATGCCAGTGTTAGTGTTTATGAGGATTTCAGGTGTGGGTGTGTCAAGTGAAGGTCTTATTATTAAATATGTTTGAGAGAAAGACGCAGGAGCCATGGAATCAGAGAGTAAGATGTTTATTGCGAGATGACTGCGATTCAAAACG